CTCCTGAACCGACAGGGCTGCCAACTCCGAAATACACCGCGCAGAAGAGATGGCAATCAAGAAGGCGGTTTTGAAAGAGCAGACGGTCCTGGGACCTATCCATGTTCTGTGGGTAGGAGCGATGGAAGGACCCGGAGCTGGTGGAAGGCTCCGTGTTCCAAAAGGACTGCCTCATGTAGGAATTGGAACCCTTTTAGTCAGATTTCTTAACGACCGAGGGCATGACGTTCTTTTTGTCCTTATTCTCAATAAGGACCGGATCCAGGGCCTCCCCCAAAAGCGTGGCCCCTTTAAACAGGGCAGAAGCAAGCTTCCACTTGGACCGCATGTCCACAGTCCAGTGTCTGAGCCACAAGAGGCATCAGGTGGTTACATTGCAGACCAGGGCCCTGGACGCAAACTTAGCAGCGTTCAGGGTGGCATCCGCAGTGTACTCTGTTGCTGCAATGATTTTATTGACATCCTGTCTCAATTTGGTATCCCTGGCCGGAATCTTGGTGAGTAATTGTCTCAGCTAGAGTAGGGAGGCTCTAGAAAGGAAGGACGCAGAGGCAGATGTTTTAATCTCCCAAGCCGCCGCCTGATGAGTCTTATGGCAGGCGTTCTCTGCTCTCTTGTCCTCTGCCTTGAGTCCCTCTAGGATACCAGATGGGAGCACTGAGGAGGAAGTGAGCGCCACTGGTGGGTCCACTGGGGGCAATTTCAGCAAGTCCTTCAGACTTGCATCTACTGTGTACAACTTCTTATCATTAGCACTAGGGATGGCAAGGGTACCTGGCTGTGCCCATTGCTTTTGCACCACATTAAGGAATAATTTTGTGACAGGAGCAATTTCTTGTGCTGGCACCTGCTCCTTGAAGAGCCCTTCGGAAAGGTCTGCAGGATCAGGAGCTGCCTGAGCTGGGGGCCTTAGCCTTGTTCAAGATAGTCTTGAAATGGACCTGCTTAAATAACCTCGTAAAGGTGGTTTTTTCAGACACAGCCCCTTAATCCGCCGAGAATTCAGGCTCCGATGTGGAGAGAATGTCTTCTTCCCAGTCCGAGTCCTCGCTGGCCAGAGAGGAATGGAGAGACTGAGATCGATGGGCCAAGGGTGCCTCCTGAGGGGGATCCTGGGTTGGGAGAGGGCGGGACATGCGTGGGAGCTTGGCCCGCTGCAGCATGCCTGCCTCTATGCTCTGGGAAATGGCCCTGGTTATGACATCTTGATCTCCAATCATTGGAGGGGGTTGGATGACCAGCTGCTGGGGTACCAGAGGGCCCACATGAACTGATTCTTCCTCAAGATCTAAGGGACATGCAAAGAGATCAGCCTGGTCAGCCATTGAGGGTCCTGGGGAACCCACCATGGCAAAGGAAGCAGTGGGAGAAAACTACTCCCCCTCCTCTTCACTCTCAGATATGACAAGCTCATGCCTGGGCTGGGCCTCTGGAGAGGGTTCTAGGAGAGACCGGCTTGGAGGCCTGGGCCTGTTGTTGGGCCTTGGAAAACTGCTTCTCTAAGATCTTCTGCCAGTGGAGGGCATCCTAAGAGCCAAGGTGGCGCAGTGGTTAAATGCAGCACTGCAGGCTACTGCTAGATCAGCAGGTCAGCGGTTCAAATCTCACCGGCTCAGGGT